CAAAAATGGATATATTACTATCATATAGTATATGTTTAAGCATCTTATTCAGACAAAATAAACTAAAGTTTTCTTTGCAATGTTACCTCATGCATGTATTGTTCTATAGGCCAAATAATGTTGCTTCTACTTGCGATTGTGGGATTAATAAGCTATTATGTTTACAAGTCTATAATACCTCCACCGCCGATTCCATTGCCAGAAAATGTCTCCAAGAGATTTTCAAGAATCAAGCTTAATGATGGTAGACATTTAGCCTACAAAGAATTAGGGTTTCCAAAGGACAAAGCCAAAAACAAAATAATATTCATCCATGGATATGGAAATTCCAAAGACGCCGATTTGTACACCACACAGGTATAAACGTAAAGATTAAATTGATGGTTCTATATATTTGCAAACTCTCTTTCAAAAATGAAGGAAGATCGTATTGGTATTTGTCTTTGTAAACCACGTGGCTGAATTAACTTTGAATTGTCTTACATAATGTAACTAATTTTTTTTGTAATTTTTTTTTTGTAATAATATTTGCAACTATAATACTCCTNTGGCTTTTTCAGGAAATGATCGACGAATTCAAGATATATTTTTTATTTTTCGATAGAGCTGGTTATGGAGAAAGTGATCCTAATCCATCAAGAACACTGAAAACAGATACATACGATATTGAAGAACTTGCTGATAAACTGCAAATTGGACCAAAGTTCCATGTTGTAGGGATGTCCCTTGGAGCTTATCCAGTTTATGGTTGCCTCAAATATATTCCTCATAGGTAATATATCTATGGGATATCTCTTAAATACAAATATTTGTGATGGTCACTTCTCAATGTCTATAACGCTTATATATTTATATTTATAGACTATGTGGAGCTTCCTTGGTGGTTCCATTAATTAATTTTTGGTGGAGACGTATGCCTCAACACTTGTTGAATGCAGCGATCAAGATACTACCATTTGAGTTTCGATTGACACTTCGAGTCGCACACTATTGTCCATGGTTGCTGTATTGGTGGATGACTCAAAAATGGTTTCCAACTAGTCGGGATCCCAAAAAAACTATGACCAAACGCGATTTGGAACTCGCGGAAATACATACAAAACAATCATACAAGGTATATATGTAAATATATATAGTCTGATTTAAATAGTCATCTAGTTAGAAGATGATATTAGAATTTTGAGTAGTTTTATGCCATTTTTCTAATTGTTTGAAATGAACTTTTTTATCAACTATTTTTTTTTGAAACTACACTAATGAAAGCTTTTAATCCATATATATAACTATTAGGAGTCTTGTTTACGACAAGGTGAATACGTGAGCACACAACGAGACATCATCGCGGGTTACGGGAACTGGGAATTTGATCCAACCGAATTGAACAATCCGTTTTCGGATAGTAACAAAGGATCGGTTCATATGTGGTGCGCACTCGAAGACAAACAAATTTTGCGCGATGTTTTACTCTATATATGTGATAAATTACCATGGATAAAGCTCCATGAGGTCCCTGAAGCTGGACATTTTATGATTCATGAAAAGCGACATTTCGAAGCCATTATCAAAGCCGCTTGTACTTGAATAAACAATGAAAAGAAACAAAAAAACTCCAAAAGACAGAAAAATTATGTAATATCCCTATATTTATATTCATAAGTTATTTTCCATGTTAATCAAAACAGCAAATGAAATAAATCTTCTTCTATGATCCCTTTCTTACTTACGACATTAAACGTGGTTTTAAATTTGTCTTACATTTGGGCTTATTAAACTCTTCGATTGAGGGTATTATAGTCATTTCATAAAAACCGACAAATCGATGATAAAAGCAAAATGTTTTCCCACTTAAAAGAGTAAAAACACTAACAAAAAAGGAGAAAACGAAATTAACAATCAAATCTCCAAAAATCGCACTTTCTCTCTCGCCGGAGATGCAACTGTTTCTACCTTTACTCCTCTTCCTCGTCGCACTATCTCCGCCGGCGATTTGCCA